AGATGTGTATAAGAGACAAGCGTCAAGGTGGGCACTGGGGTAGCGTCATGGTCAAGGTGGGCACTGGGGTAGCGTCAAGGTGGGCACTGGGGTAGCGTCATGGTCAAGGTGGGCACTGGGGCAGCGTCAAGGTGGGCACTGGGGCAGCGTCAAGGTGGGCACTGGGGCAGCGTCAAGGTGGGCACTGGGGCAGCGTCATGGTCAAGGTGGGCACTGGGGCAGCGTCATGGTCAAGGTGGGCACTGGGGCAGCGTCAAGGATTGTATTACTTTGACGCTGGGGCATTAGCATAAATTATAATGAGGTGAAAACTGTCAATTTGTTTCATGATGCCAACAACCCGCGTGCCTCTGAACAGCTGGGTTGGGGGAAGCCGTAACAGTAACCAAAGATGTCATCTTTACTGATTTAGAATACCACTTTTATGATTTATTGCATTAATATATCAATTTACAAAAGAACAATGGTGTAAATATGATGCGCAGCCGGGTCGGGAGGAGTCCGCCATGTCGATGGACGTGTCTGGGAAGATTCGGTTTGCGTGACACTCGGAGCTGCAGCAGGCCAACCTCGAGGCCACGGCGGACGTCACGTCAGATATCCGGGACGGGGAGCGCTTCCCCCTGGCCGTCAAGGACATGGGGGACCTGCGACATCTACCCTCAGAGCATCGAGGCATCAGCCACAACCCCCACGGCAGGTGGGGACCCTGAGAGTCATTAGCCACAACCCCAGCGGCAGGTGGGGACCCTCAGTTGTGTTGTAATATATTCCAGTTGTTGAAAATGAAAGTTGGAATATATTGACAGATTCACAAAACACCGTACTACGCGCCAGCAACAATGAAACGTCACAAAATGTTGCCATTTTATTTAAAAGCCTTTAGAATGCAAACCTACCAAATCCATATATTCCAACACTGTGTGTGACTTAATTTTGCATTTTGTGTGACCTAATTTTGCATTTTCAGTAGTAAAACAAGATAGAGAAACGGTTCGTGCTAAGCTAACACTTTGAGACCTGTGGCATTTAATGAACGAGTGGAATTTGTCTTGAAGTAGAGCATTAATCTAGTCTCGTTCCAGGGGTACAACCAGATGGACATGTGCAGCGAGTACGGGGGTGAAAAGTTGGATGCCTTCGACCCAGAGAAGCTCTTCTCGGAATCTTCGGATTCGGATGAAGATTCCTTCCACGAGGCAAGTAAGATATATAAACGAAGAAGAGACTAAAAACTGTGTAGAAACTAAATCACCAAGAAAAAGAATAGTGAAGTGGCCCCTGAAACCACCGCAACTCGTAATAAAAGTTCTGTAAACAGTGAAGAAACATCCCCATTTGAAAGAAGTACGTAGCATCGAAGTCACAGACACGCCAACGGCACCCAGTCCTGCAAGACGCAATCATCAGCAGTTGAAGCATACGGAAGTAAAGTAACAGGCTGCACTCATGCGTCTTGCAATCTGCGGATTTCGATGTAGGCATGACAAAAGTAATCCGAGATTTGAAATTTTCTTTTCAGATTTTTATAGTGGTAACTATTTTAAATAGTCTCTTCAATATTTACTAGAATTTTTCTCATAATGAAGGTGAATAAGTTCATGCTTGAATTTAGTCTCTTCATTTTACCCCACGCGGTACACCGTCACCTCGTCACCTGCGCTACCATCAATACTGCCTGAAATTCACTTAATTAAGTCGTTAAAAAATCATTGTTCCTCTCGACTCTCAGTATCAACAGACTATTTTGCTATCTCTGTATACGTTTAATGCCTTCTATCATTCAATATGTTGTCAAAATAATTTGGTGTTATGCTATATGATAAAATTTAAAAATGATAAAATAATTTTATTTTAGTCATCCACCATCGAGTTACGTTATAATTATGTGGCAAGATATGACCTATTTGAACAATGCGCAGCAGCTATGAAGTTATGTTTTGTCTTCAATGGTAGCAACTGATCATCACACTATTATCTATCAAAAATTTACTGCTGTTTCTTCGTGAATAATACATCTTTAGAGTAATAAACTAAAATTACAATATGCATAACAATATGATCGAGGAGCAGGCAGTCATTTTCTACCTCTGTCGGAGTGAGTCCTATAGGCATTCGAGCAGACTAACTTCAACCTTTCTAAATGGAGCTATCAGCTCCGTTTAGTAGGTCATAAAACGATTCGAAAAATATAAATAATGCCTCTTTCCATAAGTTGCAACCATATTTGCAACTTGTTTTCTATAAGATACTGATGATAATGTTTCTGACATAACTATTCATTACTTTCTGTGTCTAAATTACCAACACAAATGATGAAGATTCACCTGGCTACTTAGTGATGCTATGATCCTGTACTTGAATGTTACCTGATTTTGCACTTCACATTTTCGGGTCTGAAATCTGTGTGCTGCATTACCTTCTCTTGCAAAAAGTTTTACCAATATCTTAGCAATTTTATTGCCATTTTGTGAATGGTCTCGAAATATTTTTTGTTCTATTTTTTATGTTTTGTGCTTATCACCGTACTGTTTGCCATGTTCTGTCAAAATCTGAATCGGAATTACCAGTCTTGGCCAGTTTCTGTTTTTGGATATTGATTTTCCAGCTTTATGTTGATGACATTGTTTATAATTTCCCGTAAAGAACCTGTCATTCCTTTGTCTGTTACTTCTGTTACTTTGCACAGCATGACCTTGACTGACATATTTTAACTGAAGGTCTTGCTGTACTGATGTAGCTCATTTTTTCTATCAATATTTAGCTTCATTTGACCTGAGTAGAGGAAGAGGTGCCTGCTACATGAGGTGACAGCATCAGTTCCTGTTTCACTTATATCAGCTCCATGCTATATTTGTCCTCAAGTGAATAATTAGTTCTAAGTTGTTACTCTTAACTTTAATTTTTTTAATACGCCCATTTACCACTGTTAGGATAGGATTAGTTGCTCTTTATTTAGCGCTGGACGAGATAGGCTACTAATATGTTCCTCATTCCTCATCAATGAGGAACATATTCCTCATTGGAATCAACATAATTCATGTCCATTCCACTTCTTTTAATTAATTTTATTTATGATATTAAAGACTGAGTTCGAGGCGCTTGATTTAACGGAGCGCAAGAGCCCTTATCTCGCACGGCGAATGCAGAACTTCCGAACCTCGCTGCCGCACGGATTCCTCTTCTCCCGCATGCATATAGAGAAATTCTCCAAAGATGAAATGCGGGTGGGTTGTGTGTGTTTTCATTGCCCATCCTAGTATTGGCAATTTGGGAAGATAATGGTTGATTGTAAGCACCATATGTGTTGGATAAGTTTTTCTAAGATTGTGCCTCCACCATCACTGACATATGGTGGGTCGTCCGCACCTATGCTGGAGTTCATCTCATTCATAAAACAATAGTTTGTGCCATTCAGTAGGATAATTGCCAAATCTATGTTCACGTTGTGGTTGCAGCATCTGGTGCGACTATCCGGAGGCCAGATCGAAAAATATCCACCTGCAGCGTCGGCCCGAAACAAGATTCAGCTGATATTATGCGGCGACGAAGGAGACGCGGAAGGTCAGACGCACGTCAATGGAATTTCATTTTTCTGCACATTTTTGTAACTTCGAGATACTACTGCGACTGCCACTTTGTCCATAACATTTAATTCAATATTTAGGCATATTTTAGTACCTGAATCCTCTTGAGTCTTTTTAATTCTTGATTTCAGCTGTGTGGCGTCGTAGGAAAGTACGCGTAGTCCACTACGTGTGGCTTCTAGCATCAATCACTGCCCAAAGCAAACTGGACTATAGGAGATTTGTTATAGCACCTTCCGACCCCTCGATTGCACCTTCCATCCCCAGGTGTACCTGGCAGCTCCATCCGGAGTAAGTTTCTATAAACGTTACAACCATCTCTTGTCATGGACATGGACGAAAAAGTCCATCTAGTTCTAGACCTGGTGTTTAATAGTGATCCATCAATTTATGTTAGATATAATCGGGTGACATGATATAACTAACATCAATTCTTACAATATACCTAAATAACCAACCCCTGGTCTTTACCCACATTGCAGGGGTCTGAAATAATAACTATAATAAATTGTCCTTACCTACATTACAGCCGGCCAGGAATGAATCAGCTGACGGCGCTTATGCGTCGTCGTCGTCCCGCCGCTACGCCTCGTGCCGCCGATTCAGGTCGATTCGCCTAGGCTGTCGAAGTCGTAATATTTCAGTAGACTTTTTGCCACAATTGCTGCACAAAATCTCCTGGACATAAAAAAGGAGGAGGAGGCCGTCTGGACTGACTATAACGCAGACGAGGAGCAGGTCAAGTGCAGGCTGGCGGCCGACCTGCTGCAGGCCATCTGTCTAGGAGGACACGTGGAGTCTAGGAGAACACGTTGTAGAGGGCTTGTTGTAAATTATATTTTACCGTTGTAATATAAGGCTTCTATTAAATATAGAGGTATTGTAAATTTGTTATTAATTAGAATTGTAAGAATGTTTTAGAGAAAGTTAGAATCGAGAATAGAGTTTGCGGATTAAGAACGAGTAGTATGAACGGGGAATTCAGTACGGCACATGGTGCCGGGAATATGATTTCCGTTACCATTTCCTAAAGTATGGTCGAAGATGTAACCCTGGCCCCGTCCAAGAGAAGCGACTTTTGATAGAATTCATTCATCAAGCGACTAGACGTGGACATTAGGTCATGTTGTCATGGACTTTGTAACATTTAGACACCCAGAAGATCACGTTAGTGTAATGCTAAAGAGCGCGAGCTCAACAGACAAAAGGGTCGATGCTTCACCAAGAATACTCTCCCGATGCGTGCTTACCAAGTGACTCTTGAGAACAAACATGAAGCGGATCCTCGAGTACTGTCCCATTACCACCATGATTTTGTCTGGCGATAATATCCAGAGACTCCTATTGATCAAATCTTCCAGAGCCAACACTATCAAGACAATGGTAGATTTCTCAAAATGGTGTCAGTACCAGAGGTTAATGCTCATAGCGCCCATAGCTCAAGAGATTGATCGTATCTTCGGAATATCCCCTTTGTATGAGTCAGTCCATTTACTCTGTCTCAAACATTGGTTTCTATTCCAAGATTCTGCGAATATCCCTGAACAGGCTTACTCGGGCCTGCCTACACCAGGGGTGAAAGAGCTTACATTGGTATTGACTCTCATGGTGAGGGTATGTTCCAGAAATTATGGACTCTAGTGACTGCCTGTGGTGCCCTCAGCCATATGGAAGGTAGAAATTTGAACACATCCATCTTAGGCATGGGTGACAATCAGGTCATTGTAGCTGAGAAGCCTGAGAGCATGAGTTACGCAAACGCTCAGGCATCAATACTCGAGGGGCTCAATGCGTTCTCTCAAGAAGCCGGACTCCCTATCAAGTTGATGGAAACGTACGTCACTTGCAATTATCTGGAGTATGGAAAGTCTTCATACCTGAGAGGCAGAAGATTAGAAGCAAGACATCAAAAGAGCTGGCCGTATCGGAACCGAGTCGCAAGAGAACATACCATCTGTCAACACTAAGGTGAGTGGCTGCTGCGCGACTGGGATAGCCACTGCTGCTGAAGCCAATAGCCCTGCTGCTGCCTACCTCACAACATGCATGGAAGTTTTGACAACTCTTCGCTCCCGTGGGTTTACCGGTGACAAGCACAAGATGATTGCGCTATTGCTGTTGAACCGGCAGTCAGGCGGGATCAAGATTAGCCTGTATCTCTCGTACTGCCTTAGAGGGGTTGATGATCATCTCCCTACAGTGGAGATATGGGCATTTATGTATCGGAATTGGACCCTTCGCCCTATCTACAATCGCATCATAAAAGCGTTTGAGACTCTGCCTCTCAGGATTGGTCGTATGAACTGGGAGCAGATCTGCAAAGACCCTTATTCTATCCCGTGTATAAGAGAACCTGATGCAGACACAGGGGGCCAAGATCTCGTCGGCGTACCGTTGAGACATGAGTGTGAGAACAGGCGATAGAGGGTGTTGTTAGACGCTAACTCCGATCTTGTACGGACTCAATTGGTGTCAAGCTTATCTCTGTTACGCCCCATGCTTCCTAAATTAGCTGCTGCGTGCGATATATGAACTCAGCAATGTGGCTTTGGCTGACAAGGTCATTACTATGTTCCAGTCGTCGACCTCTGTGCTGAAGTTACTGAATCGATTCACATCCTTTAAGACAATCACAGATGAGGCCATCGATCGTGATCAGCTGCTCCTCGCAAGTCTGAGTCACGGCCCTCACACATCATCTGCAAGATCGATCCAGGGACTCGTGAGATATGCTGTTTCTCTATGGTGCTCCACACATGCATGTGATAACTTGCGTGAGCAAATAGCTGGGACACCGTTAGTCAACCCGTCTCAAGCATCATCAGTTCACCAAGTTCGACTGGTCCGATGGAATCAACTCCCCGAAGAGGACCAGCCTAGGACATTCAAGGTTATCGCCGATCCAAGGATCTTAGAGTGTGACAATGCTAGGGGTCGTTACGCAAGTTACATTGGCAGTGACACAGCTGTCAAGAGGGCTCAATCATCTATGGTCTTAATAGACCCAGAACCTCAAGACAAAGCGGCAATGAAACTCGGAGAGTTGCAATATTGGGTCAATGGAGACAACAATCACAATCATCTCCTTGATACTCTCATTCGGGAAAAGATCACTCTCTACTCCACCTGAAGTTTTCAGGGAAGCTCAGATTGCAGGTGGCTCTTTTGAACACCGCGGAGGCGTGATGATGCTGTCTAGAGGGGTTCATATAAACTTCAATCCCTCGATCATGTCTCATTTACTCATCGATTCTGACACTGCCACCGCATATGCAAAGCAAGGAGGTGACTACACCATCATCTTCCAGTCTGTCAAGATCAAGGTTGCAAGTGTTTTGATGCACAAACGTATCTCTGGGGCCATACTTTCAGAACTCGCTAAGTGAACGTAAGTACTTACGCTCTATTTTCTTGGCTGATGAACTTACGATCTCCTAAATTTTTTTGAAAGTATAGGCCCTGCTGGACAACAAATTGTGGGGGAATGGGCTACTGTTCTATCCTGCTCTCGCTGTACTCGCCCAATCTACGAGGGCCAGTATACCCTGGATTACCCCTCGTCATACAGAGGTCTGTCAATTGGCCTCGAGCGCCATATCCAGATCAGGCCCATAGCTCGCTCATATGGTCGCTCTGACATTGAACCTGAGAACTAGGGACGCTGGGCACGTTTATCGCGCAGAATCTATGGTTCAAGCATCACTCAACTGTGATAGCATTAGAGATGGGTTATTGAGACCAGCGTTGTACGAGCTACTTGTTCAACTCAAGGACTGCACAGGTCTCAGTCGAATCAATCAAGCGAGCATTATCATGGACCCAATTGCTATCTGCTGTGAGAGAAGAAACATCACAGAATGCTTTGATGTTGTCGCTGGGTTCGATATTGATGATCCCACTGATCGGGTTCGTGCCCTATCTCTCTACCTGATCAAGAATAAAACATTGGCTGTCTAGTCTTGGAGATGGATGCTAGCGCCAGACTCCATCCATCTTCGGCGCAGTGCCTGCAAGCTTGTGCTGGAGGCAAATCATGGCCCTAATCGTGAGGAGAGAGCTATAATTGATGCGTGCACAGATGATATAGCCCCAAGAGAGACTGCTCTTAACCTCTCAATCGCGCCTCCACCGTTAATCTGCCAGAGATCACTAAGGTTGATGGCATCTAATGCCCATCCACCCACTTTTGCTCTAAGCCAAGGCCCTATAGCGAGCTTCCCCAAGATGGAAGACAGGCCTCTGGCAAGACGAACAGTGTACAAAGATACTTCATCCTCATAGGGAATGACTGCCTATGCCTCTCAAATTTGGAGCATTTGTCTCTCCTTGCCGCCTTATCCGGCCCTAACACTGATAAGTCATAAAAAAGATCCGGCAAAATGAAACGATATTAGATCTTCTGTGAACAAGGCACGAAAAGGAAAAGAATCGGCGACATGCCACATCAGGCCTACACTTCAGTGCCGAGATCAATGTTATGTATGTTAATAACTGACGATTATCTAGTATTGGTAGTCTCCATTTCTCAGCGGTACGGTAATTAATGCTGCACCGCTATGTAGCTTTACGACCTAAGTTTGCATCTCACTGTCAAAAAGGCATGCGGAGACCGTGTTACCACTTTCATCAATGAATATTTAGTTGGTTTACGAGTCATGGTCCGGCGATCTGACCGTATTCCGTGTGGTCGGTCCATCTGCCTGCTTCCTCCTGGACTTCAGTCTGCATTGCATTGGCTCGCGTAATGTAGCAGGGATTAAATATAATTCAGTATTACGTAAACCGCCACATCATTTGTAACAGAAAAATGGAGTTTATAGTTTGCTACATCGTTTGACTCTAATAAGCATCTACCTATAGCATGAACACCTATCATTCGACAATGAGATCTCAATAGCACAAGGATACGTTAGTCAGCATAACAGCACTCTGCATCGCGGGCAAAACTTCGCTGGATGCTGCCGCCTAGCTAGAGCGCCACCGGCGCACGTTAGAATTTGTGTTAGCTAAGAAACACTGACAGTTCCGGGTTAGTCATACCACTTTTACAGATCGTTATTTTTAATAACGCAGGGCACCATATTCAACACAAGGAGGGACAATATATATTCTTCGTGAAGGCATCGACAGTTGAGGACTAAGAAATTTCACGTCAATGTACACACGAATAGCAATATACTTGCAGCCAACCAACTTAATGGGTAACGAATTTCAATACAGCGTCACGCCGCATGTGAGACTGCCTGTACGGGGTACGTCCACATCGCGATCCTTCCTTCACTGAAATCAGAGTTACGCGCTACGTTAATAAAGTCGTCGACCGTCGACGGAAGAAATTTTTAGAGCCCTAAATCGACAAAGCTAAAAACCATAGTTCTCCAATCGTCCAACGGCCATGACAGTACAGTACCGTCAATGGCTGCACCCTGAAGTTGCTGCTGTCCTGAGAATATCAGGAGATAAGAAATTTAAAAAAATGTTGAACTGAGGGATATGAAGCACGAACTATAATACTTGAGCTTAAATCTTGATCTGCTTCTGTAAGTAATGTTCATGTGTGATCCTATAACTAGCTTATAAAAACTTGAGAGCGAAGTTTAGGGGAACGGGCGTTGCTAATGTCTTGTGCACTTATAAATATCACGACAACCAAATTCAAATGAACTACCTGCCATTCGGATTCTAATCTTGCAAAGTAGGTATCAAGAGCTATAAAAATGCGAACGGCTTTTTAGAGCTCTTGACTCGTTCAAAAGTTGCCCTTAAGTGACGCTAGGAATGCATTTCGTACTTCTCCAACGAGACGTTAGTGATATTATTCGGTCTTTGAATTAAAGATGCTTTCCACCAACATAACAAGTTACATACATTCATTTCAGTGTTTTCACGCATAAGACGATCTTCTAAGCATCTCAGATTCACAACACTTGCTGCTCGAAGAACAAATTTTTCGTCTCGTCCGTACCAGT